ACATGAGTTGATCACTTGATTTTAATAGTGTGTGACCATGTGTGACCCCCTTATGATATTCATGAATACAAACCCTATTTGTGTGAGCTTTTTATAACAGATAATATAAAAACTAAATTGAGAATATGTATTAAATTAAGGTGAATTGATTATATTTTATTAGTTTAAATTTTGTAATAATGATAATGTGGTAATATTGTTTTTTTTTAAATTTGGTAGAATAAAGAAGCTGATCAATTATCATAATTTAATTATGTATTCTTAGATTTTGTAATCCATCAGTATTGATCTTTTCTAATCTCTTATATTCTTCTAAAGCTGCTTTAGAAATCTTTGATTGTGAATAGTTAAACCCTAAAATGTGTAGTTTTTCTAAAGAAGGTGCTCGGCTCATTGCAACATATATTTGACCTTCAGCAAACATGTTTTCATCAACATTTAATGTTACATGTGGTAGTGTTAAGCCCTGTGTTTATGAACAGTTAAGGCAAATGCATTTTGAAGAGGGAATTGCTGCCTAGATGCTTTCTTGCCATCAATTTCAAAATGAATGGTTTCTTTTTGAACTATAATCTTATTTATACTTGTTAATTAATATATAATAATAATTATTATAATTATAATTAGAGATGGGAAATTTCAAAATTACATGCGCATTATGCACATTTTATGCCTTTTTTTTTAAAAAAAAATTTCGAGAATATATATCACTGCCTTCTTCTTCATCACTTCCTATTCTAATTGTTTCGTTGTCAGTCATCATCACTTTTATCATTTTCACTTCCATCACCACCATAAATTGTAATATAATCAATAATAACTTGGTAAAAAGTAAAAATTCGCATTTTTTTTGAATAGAATTATGTACGGGACATTACATGATTTGAAAAAAAAATCATGCGCATGTCACATTTCAAATAATAATGTATATACTGTATATTAACAATAGTAATAACCTTGTCGAACCAACAAACAATCACATTTACATGTTTGAACATTTTATATATATACATGTTTGAAATACAACAACACGTTTACGTGTTTGAAATACAACAGCACGTTTACATGTTTGAAATACTACAACACGTTTACGTGTTTGAAATATAACAACACGTTTTACGTGTTTGAATACAACAACACGTTTTACGTGTTTGAATACAACATGTTTTACGTGTTTGAAATACTACAACACGTTTACGTGTTTGAAATATAACATGTTTTACGTGTTTGAATACAACAACACGTTTTACGTGTTTGAATACAACATGTTTTACGTGTTTGAAATACTACAAC